GTGTGTTTGTGTGTTTCATTATGTGTGTGTAGTTTGTGTGTTTCATTGTGTGTGCGTGTGTAGTTTGTGTGTTTCATTGTGTGTGCGTGTGTGTGTGTAGTTTGTGTGTAAATGAGAGGGTTGGGACATCACTACAGATGAAAAGTGTTGACATGGTGGACAGACTCCAGCAGTGTCAGTGGTTTTGGTTTGGACCTTTACAGTGAATGCACTGGGAGTTAGGGTTAAAGGGACAGTTCGGATCTTTTGAAGTGGGGTTCTGTATAAAGAGCCTGAACAATTCATGTCTTACCTGTCGTAGATAGCTTTTTGAACAACTTCATTTCCAGAGTGGGTCATGCACACAGTATCTTATAAACCTTTACATCACATCAAGCAGCTCCAGCAGAATTATTCTGAAACTTTTGTGAAGAAGGTTACACTTAATCAGAAGAGCCGTGGCTGTATGATGAAAAGGTCCTGGGAAGTAGGGGTGAGGGTGGTGCTGGAGCACCTCTCCATGGATGCTGCTTCAATCCTGGCCCTGCGCTGACTAGCCACTAGCTCATTAGTCTGGTCAGAAATGACCTGCATTTCTCCTAAACTGATGTTCAAAGAGCTATCTACAGCAGGTAAGACGGTATTTGTTCATAAACTTTCCAGAAACCCACACTTCAAAAAATTTGAATTGTCCCTTTACCTTTAATGTGAGCAGTAAAGAACAAAGGTCTCGTTGGTGTGGGGAAGTTTCTTTGGTGCCCCTCACATTTTCAGTCTTTCTTTAGTTTGTTTTTGTGTGAGATGTGTGTCGTATGATGCACGGTTTCCAAGGCAACCAGAAGATCAGAGCTCTCCGTGGAGAACGTAAAGGTAAAATCTGCATGATCACATTCAGATCTGCTGGAACTGCTGAGGTTTGTGTTCTGAGCCCTGCAGCCCAGATTATCACAGAGCCGTCACTTTTCTTTACATGCATTTTTAGCACATGCAGCCGAAGACGAGCCGAAAGAATCAAATGGAACGAGAGAGAGAGAGGGAGAGCTGGTTTTGAAAAACAGCAGCCCTGCAGAGACTTGTTGGTCCTTAACGTTTGTTAAATTGTTATTCCTGCTGTAAAAACCTTAGTTATTCAAATGAAACAAGTGTTTTCTCATTTTAACCACCCCTGAACTTGAATGAAAATAAAACAATATTCATGTTCAGGGGTTGTGTTTGCCAAATCTGCAAAAAACAAAATCCAACAGATTTAAGTCTAGTTGTGCTTCTCTGAGCGGCAGCTGAAACACTGAGTTGGTGCTTTTGATCATTTCTGCTCCTACGTACAACTCTGACCTGTTCCTCCAGACAGAGTGATTAAAACTCTAAAGAGGAGCCTCAGAATGGACCCAGCGCACGTCGATTGTTCCACTTCAGCAGGACAGAAAGGCACATGTGGGTGACAGACAAACCAGCTCGCCTAACAAATAGGACCTCACCGCAGCCACATGTTCCTGAAGTTCACTCCTCTTCCTTTAACAGTTTCTGTGTTGATGCTCGAGCTCAGAGTCGTTTTAATGAACTGTCTCTACGTGACCTCAGAGGTGCTGCTGACATTAACAGCTTACACTAAAGACTACAGAAAGATTTAAAGCCTTTACGTTCACTGTAACAAAGTACAACCACCAAGATGGTCTTCATATGATGAGAACTGTAGAAGTATAAGAATTCACCACAATACAGATGTCTGACCCTCGCTACGACACAAACCACAGCTGGATCTACTGTTTCTACGTTTCTATTGTACTTCGTCAGCGGGAGGAGAAAAGTCGACACATTTTTAAAGGAGAGAGAAGAAGAAAAGAGCAGCGAGGGAGGGTCAGATGTTTCTGGCTTTAAATGGATCTGTTACATCTGCTGAAGTGAGGTTCTGTGGAGAGATTATGAACAATAAATATCTTACTTGTAGGTAGCCTTTTGTAGGAGCTCAAATTGGAGAAGTCCAAGTAGGTCCAAAACACACAACTGCCATTTTAAAACACAAGTTTCAATTATAAGAACACTATTTTACATTCTTCTAAATTAAAAGGCTCTTCTGGCAGAAATATTCTTTGTCTGCAACAGAAGTGCTACAGCTAGCTGATGCTATTTGTGTTTTCATACAGCCTAAACATTTTGCACGTATACCGGTAATGGTGCAATAACCGTTCCCCAGAACTGTACTTCAAAACAACAGAGTTGTTTATTTAACAAAACCTTCTTAGACAAACTATAAATCTGAAAGTCAACAGCTGGAGTCAACGACCGGCCTGAAGAGCTACCGGCCTGGAACAACTCCATTCACAAATTGTTCATGAACAGTGTTTTATAAATCCTTACATCGATGTTTGTCTCACATTGTGCAGTTATTTAAATTGAAATGTTCAGTTTGATGCTAGCATAAAGAACTGCAGCTACAGCTAGCTAAGCAGTGCAGCCCGGAGCTCTTCCTGCACCAGTATCATGATATTTCTGATGAAACGACAAAGTACAGGCAGCACGACGGCTCAGTGGTTAGCACTGTTGCCTCACAGCAAGAAGGTTCTGGGTTCAATCCCCAGTTGGACCTAGGGTCCTTCTGTGTGGAGTTTGCATGTTCTTCTCGTGCTTGCGTGGGTTTTCTCCAGGTACTCCGGTTTCCTCCCACAGACCTAAAACATGTATGTTAGACTGCCTTCAGGTCCAGGCCTCCCTTGCAAAAGAGATCCGTGATCTCAATGGGATTTTCCTGGTTAAATAAAGGTTAATCCATTAATCAGAAAATAAAGGTAGTGTGAAGATTATTTAATAAAGTGTGTGCCTGAACTGCTGTGAAATTTTATATTAACGTTGTTTTAAGACGGCAGCAATGCACATTGACCCTGAACCCGTTATCGCCTCAACTCAGTAAGACTGAAAGGCTCATAACCTGTCCACAGAATGCAAAAGATTTGAACTATCCCTTTAAGGTAATAGTTCTCAAAGGTGAGACTGTGAAACCTACTACTGGGATTCTTGAGATGATCTCCAGAGAGCAGATTTATTGAAACTGATTGCTAAATGGTTGATGATGTTCTGGGTGGTTAGAAATCTTTGTGTCATTCAACCTGCAGCATGTGAGCTCTGCAGGTCTGAAGCTGAAAACATGTTCAAATTTGTGCTTCTGTTGAGGTCGAGAAGATGAGCAGCAAAGCACTGTCTACCATGACCCAAATGATTTTACTATGTTGTCTCAGCTGACAAATAATGTAAAGGAGAAAATGTTTGATTATTGTTAATAACATTTAAAAAAGGATATATAGGTTTATACTGTGTCAGTGGTTCAAATAGTAACAGCCACAGAAAGCTCAGAAACACATCAGAAGATGTGATGTTATTCAGATCTGTCTCTGCTTTTCAAATAATACAAATGGTCAGAGACACATTTGTATCTGAGCTGACAAAAAGAAATATCTGCAGAGGTCCACAGGGAGGGCAGAGGAGGAGAGAAAGAATCTTAAAACTCGATCTTGCACGCTGGAAAAGACTCGTCCTGCATGACGACTGTGCTGCTGGAAGCCAGAACCATGATGTTGAGCTCCTGCTGCCTCTCGTGTGTCTGCTGATACCAGTCACGAGTCACCTCCGTGTCGTGGGTCGGGATCAGCGTAACCTGAGACGGAATGAAAGAGGGAAAAGACAGTAAGGTCAAAGGTGATTAGGAGAATCTAAACAATTCATGAGATTCCCTGTTCACTTAGGAAAAAACAAGGCTTTGTTGTCTTGTATTGCTTCTTTTTTTTTTACAAAATGAACTTGACTATATTGGTCTTTGTGTTATTTTTTTCAGTCGGTGTGCACCAAATAACAAAAAGAAAACATGGTTTCACCAACTGCAGTTGACCATCTATGGTTGAGCAACTGCAGTTGATATTTTATGATATATTTCTTGTATCACATCTGATACACCAGGCTGTTTTGGCAATGTTTTGCTCACAATAATGTTAATTTTAGATACAAAAACATTTTTTATCCATTTAGAAAGTATAGAACACTCCAGGCAGGTTACTTTGTTGTTTGCTTGTTTGTTACATAAAACTTTCACAGCCGTTTATTTCACTTTGTGGTAGACACAAAAACAGTTTATGTCCTTGTTCAGGTACAGGTGTACCTTACACTTTGCACAGTATATCTGTGAAAAGTGATTAGAGCTGCAATTTCTAACCTGGTCCCGTGCCCGACTCGAAATTTGGGCCGGGTCGAGCCAAAATAATATGCTTGATGGGTGGGCTGTGTCAGTGTCGAGCTTTTGATATGGTTTTACGAATCATACAGCACAAAGAAAACTAAATAAGAATGCATGATATAAAATTGTGTTAATCTACGTGTAGGCAGGTCCGACTGGCCAGTTTAAAGAGGTAAAAAAAATGTCCTGTTAAGCTCAGAGGGATCACCGGCCGCGCACGTCTCTGCACCTGCTGTCATCTGCGGTGAAGGAAGTAGCAGCATCTACAAAAGCTGAAGTGAGCAGCGCGTTCAATTAGAATTGCCTTGTTCTATATTTTTCCAAATAATTTTGCTCTAAACATATTTTTGTTCATTTGTTCATTAGCCTGGCTTTAGGGTTGTTTTTTAGGCTATTCGATTTGTATGTTAATATCCATTTGATGAAACAAGAAATCTTATATATCTTCCTTTCTTTGAAATAAGTTTTTAAAATATCATTTCAAACTGATTTGCTTACAGAAGCAGTAAAAGCTTAATTTAAAAAAAAGTTTTTGGGGTGGGGATTTGGGCCTGTAATTATCATATTTTCCACCGTACACGTTGCATCGCCGTATGAGTCGCATCAGTCCAAACATGTCTAATAAAGTGGAAAAAACATAAATAAGTCCCTTCGCTGTATATGCCGCATCTATTATGTGTCACCGCTGACAACCTGGAAATGTGGGCCGGTGTTGTGACAAAAATCGATTGGCTGCCAAATGGCAGCCGCAAGAATGTGCACAGGACTTTAACAAGAATTTAACAAGATTAACACTTAAAAACAATTATTTATTTGCTCAAAATTGTAGTAAAGGTGGTCTCAGTCTAACTTTTCCTTAATCAATGCACTTTGATGGTCACATCATCTGCATTTTAAATGCCGATTTGCAGAAGCGGGAGCGCACAGAGGGACGACTCGCTGTGCATTTCTTCCAAATTTAACAAAATAACCACCTAAAAATAATTTGTTTGCTAGAGTTTATAGTAAAGGTGTGTCTCAGTTGCACTTTGATTTAATAAATGCACTTTGATGGTCAAATCAGCTGCATTTCTAAAGTATTCGCTGCCTCGGTGCTCCGGGACCGTGCAGAGGGAGGAAATCAAGAAGGAGGAATGCCGTGCATTTCTTCCAAATTTAACAAGATAAGCACCTAAAACAAATATTTGTTTGCTCGGCATTATAGTAAAGGTGTCTCTGTTGAACTTTTACTTAATAAATACACTTCAATGGTCAAATGAGCTGCATTTTGCCAGGGCGATGCAGTGAAATGAAGCTGATTTGACGGTTGCTCCAGGCGAGCTCGACGAAGGTGGCAGGCTATGGCAAGTCAATTGTGTCATTAATAGCCACTTTTACATATCACATGACACAATGGCATGCCATAATACTTGAGTGCCATCAAGCAGCTGAAAATGGTAGTGTTCAATATTTTCAGTCAGAATGAATGAAAACGGTCATATCCCAACAAAAAATTGTTTATGAATATGGGGAAAAAAACGTGAATAAGTCGCTTTGGTGTATCAGTTGCAGGGCATGTAAATTATTCAAAAAAACTGTGACTTATAGGCCAAAAAACACGGTACAGTTATATGATCAGGTCGGGTTCTGAAAAAATGGCTACGGGCTGGGGCTGAGTTGGGTCGTATTTTTTTAGGCCTGAATGCAACTCTAAAAGTGATTGCCGGTGCAGTGCTTGCACCTCTGCCGAGTTTCCCATGTGGGAAATAGATCATTCATTCAACCTTTATTTAGACAAGTAAATCCCATTGAGCCTCGAGGACTCATTTACAAGAGAGACCTGATTTCAACAAAGAATGATGACAACAATGGACATAGCAACAACAATAAACAGTTATAAAAAGTCATACAATTTTATTTATTTTTTTAACAAATAGGATGGCTAAAAAAAAGAAAAGAAAAGTAACAAAAAACAGCTAGATTCTAAGGCGAATGTAGAAAAATAAAAACAGGAACATGTCTGCATTGGTCCCTGCCAGGAGTCCAACAGATTCTTAAAGCCACTTAGAGAGGTCAAGGTCGAGAGCTTCAATGCCAAGATCAATGCCATCCTTTCTCACATCAAGAGGCACATGGCAGCTTGGCCTTTTACGGGGTGGTGTTGGAGTTGCTTCTGGAGAGGATAGTGGTCTGCCATACTTGATTTTGAGCTTTCCTGCACTTGTGACAGAAGTGCTAACCAAAGCTGAAACCTTCGTGGAGCCGTGGGTTTCTTCTTGGGTTGTAGCTTCTTTTGATCCTTTCAGTAGAGGTTCCAAGCATTGATGAATGTTACAGTAACAGTGTGCCACTATACATATATGTGCAATCTTCAGGATCTGATATGGAACTTGTCAAGTGTAGACAGCATATCAAACAGATCAACACCTCCCATAAATTTGTTATATGTTTAACAATAGCTGGTCTGGGAGCCAGTATGAGTTTTTGATTTGCAATCCCAGCGTTTCACATTTCCCACAGGTTCAAGGCCAACAAAAGCGGAAATCAGGTTCACTGCTTTGTTGTCATACCATCTCACAGTGATGTTGTTGTCTTGGTTCATTCTGCAGTCCATTGACCCTCTTCCACTTTTCTTCAGTTCTTTTTCATCCCTCATAGTGGTCTTTCTCCACTTGGACTTGGACTTTTTTTGTTCATTGTTGTTTTTGTTTTGACTTTTTGCATCTGCACTGCATTCACACACTATGGGTATGACCCTGGGCCCATGAGCAAGGCCCTTAACTCCCATCTGCTCCCTAAACAGGTCTCTCTTGAAAATGAGTTCTCATGGCTCAATGAGACTACCTGTATAAATAAAGGGTAAATAAAAAAATTTAAAAAAATGACCGCAACACACTTTTAGAGTTGTGATCGTCAGTGAGTGGGGACTTTGGCACAACTTTTGGGGACTCTGTTGTGGCCATTTTCCCCTGGGTCTTTTGGTTGCCTGTGCACCTTAAGAGGAAAACGGAGAGAGAAAAGCGAGCCAGTATTTTGTGCAGCACCCGCCAGAGGTCTTGCAAAAACACCCTCTCCCCTCAGTCCTGCTTTCAGGCATTCAGCCTCTGACGACTGGACTGGATAACCTTTGTGCACGCATTTATTGCGATTGAGACACGAGGAGCTGTTGTGTCTTTGCCTTTATGGAAACATGGCTGGAGCCGTCCATCCCTGACTGTGCTGTGGCTCCGGACGACTTCACCGTGTACCGGCTTGACAGAAATTGGCGGCTGTGGCTGAGTGGTCAGAGCAGTCGTCTTCCAATGCAAGAGTTGGGGGTTCGAATCCACTAGCAGTCACATGCCAAAGTATCCAAAGTGCCAAAGTGATTACTGAATGAGGGGCGCATGCGCAAGTGCTGACCCTGGGCGTCTGGCTTGCTTGTTGTTTGTCAGTTTTTTTGATCTATTATATCGTATTTTATTTTATTTATTTTTTTATATATAATACTGCAGAACAGTTTATGCTTGGCAAACATGGCAAGAAATGTGTTAACAAAATTACTGGTTTGGCTATTGTTTTGGACTATATGGGGCATTTTAAATGCTGAGAGCAGGCCGTTTGGATACACGGAACAGTGGATTACCTATTCTCGGAATTACCTGCTGACTTTTCAACAAACCAGCACTTCTCCCCCGACCCTTCTCCACAGCTGCCCTGAAATAACCCGGTCAGTAAATCAATCAGGCACCGGTACAGCTAAAAAGAAAATGCGTGGATCCAGAGGAGGAATACGGAACCGGCTTAAAAGGAGGGGCAGCCGCTTCCCCCTCCCGACAATCAAGCTCTCCAACGTGCGTTCAATAAGGAATAAGATGGAGCAGTTATCTGGACTTTTGAAATATGACAGAGATTTCAGGAGAGCCAACCTTCTATGTTTCACTGAGTCCTGGCTTACGGAGAATGATGACGTCACTGACCTGGAGGGATATACGACACTCCGTTTTGACAGAGACACACAGCGCACGGAGAAAAGCATTGGAGGTGGGTTGTGCATGTTTGTGGATAATCGCTGGGCAACTAACATGACGATCCGTGAGACTGACTGTTCAAAACACTACGAGATAATGACTGTATCCTTTCGCCCTTACTATCTGCCCCGTGAGTTCAGACAGATCACTGTGATTCTGGTTTACGTGCCCGGCCCGGACTTCACTTTAGCAGCTGAGCGCATAACTGACAGCTACACCAAGGCACAACGTCACTCTGTGGATGACCCGATCTTCCTACTTGGCGACTTTAATGGTTGTGATATTCCCACTTATCTCCCGAACTTAGAACAATATGTGACCTGTCTGACACGAAAAGACAAGACTCTTGATAAATGTTTTGGTAACTTGGAGGGTGCTTATGTGGCCAGGTGTTGCCCACCCCTCGGCCAGTCTGACCATAACATCATCCACCTGCTG